CCCCAAAACCCCAAAACCCCAAAACCCCAAAACCCCAAAACCCCAAAACCCCAAAGGAGGGCAGGGATTTGAATTAAATTTAAGATGGATAAATTAAATCAGAGGCGACCACTAGTTTTAGTAATAATTAGTGCACACTTTGGTGAAGTTTGGCACCTTATTTGGTGCTTTGTTTTTCATCTTGAAGTCTTCTTCTGAGAACTCTTACAATACCTTCAAGAAGATCTAAGGATTGCTCATTTAGGCCAAGAGGAAGGTTGTTCACAAGAGAATCTACATTAATAGAATTTAAATTTTTTGATGAAGGAACTGTTCTTGTGAAAGCGGAGGATGAATCTTCTCGTTTCTCAGGAATATTTTGCGCTGTTTCGTTACTAATTGCGGAATTGACTTCTTTTTGGGTACTATCTTCATCGCTTAAAATTTTATCTCCAATTGAGAGGGAAAATTCTTCAATGCCAGATCTGCCAATCCACTGGAATGCGGGTTTCCCGGTCTTCAAAAGTGTTTTCTTCACGATTTTAAGCACTCAAAGAACGTTGGCAATATCATATAGTCTTCTGACTTTGGTCTTAAGCTGACTTTCGTTGAGCAAGATGGTGGAAATTTTCTTTGCAGCTTCTTCAAGGCTGATAATTGGCTTCCATAGAATGAACAGTCAGATGAATGCTTCTCATAAAAATCCAAGAGACTTAACTCTTTCAAACTTATACTTAGAGAGAGCAGTATCAATAGTTTTCTCATCTAAGGCGCTTTCCTTTAAGAATTTTTCCTCAATAATTTCATTTCATCTGAGGTAAATATTGTCAAGAGCGATAGATATTTGTGACAATCCCTTCCAGGAGTATAAATTTTTAGCTTTGCGCGAAACAGCGCCAAAGCCTTCAAATATATTCATTATATCATAGACCCTTCTCTTCTCTGTGTTAAGGTGGGTAGTACACTTGTCAAGTGGGATGACAATATCATTCTTGGACCCATACCTCTTCATGAAGTTCTTCGTAAGCTCAGAGAGACTCTTTTCCTTTCTATTAATTTGTGAATAAATAACTTAGTTAATTTTAAAAATTTGAACGAGAAGACAAAAATAAATTTAAAAAGCCTCAATTTAGTACAAACTTGAATTTTGCAATTCGGGTGCATCAAGGATTTTCCAGTATGAATGCTAAGACTGGCGTAAAATAAAATTTATGAGCTCTTTTCCCGCTTGTTTAGATATAAATCGATGGAAAAGTAATGCAAGCGGGTAATATTGTTTAAAAGCAGCAAACTTACTTCTTGATGTCATGAGAAGGATCTTCTTTTGAGCTGGTATACACATTTTCTGATCCTCAAGCTTCTGTAGATTTGGGAGATACCTTGCGCAGATGGTTACTTGCCAATAATTTAGCTAATTCGAAGTTCTCGTTTTCTTTCTGACTTTCTAAATTAAGCGGGGTATTTTGGCTCTCATTTGCTCATTTCTGGAGATTTGAATAGCATTCTGGGAAGTCATTATAAGATAACTTCTGTCCTTCTGGGAGGGTGTTGAATTGTATCGGGATAGACTGGAAACTCAGAACGTTTAGTGGAACAGAAATGTTTGTGATTTCTGATATTCCTCTCTGCACAGGAAGTCAATTTGGGATGTAAAAATTTTGTGACATAGTTTGATCGAGGTCTTTAATTTAAAATTTAAATTGTGATTTTTGATTGCTCCAATTATAAGTACCGATTCTGGGGTTTTGGGGTTTTGGGGTTTTGGGGTTTTGGGGTTTTGGGG